AGAAATTTGCATCCACAACAATGTCAGGTCATACTCATATAACATCTCAAACCGAGTAAGCTAAACATAGCATTCCTTCATAATTTATTAGTTTTAAGTTTATACTTTAAATTTATTAGTTATTTAATTAAACTACCTTTGCATGTTTTCAAATCTATCTATTGAGTTTGAATTAATTATTGTAACTGAGGAGTTGTGCTCCAAAAAAAGCTAAAAGGGGGGATTACATTTGGCCAGCCCGATGTCCCTTCGGCCAAACAATGACCTGGTGTGCTCTGTAGAATTGTAGCTCAGCCTTTAGTTAGAGAAGAGTTTTTGTGCAAATTAAGCAATTTTTCGGCTTTTGGACCTTTAGCTCTCTCCATTCGAGATGGCCTAAAGCCACATAAGGAGAAACTCTTGTACCATGTCGTCTGTACCTCAGCTACCGAACTAAGTGGGAGTTCTTTTGTAATGGAGTTCATCGGAGGCACGCTTTCACCAACTCTAATACGAATGATCCACTTAAGAGCGTGTAAGTTTACTGATGAAGTAGTCATCTTAATTTGTGAACACATAACTCTCTTACTGAAGAGATCCATTGTCGTATCGTTAGTTATTTGAACTTTGTATCAATTTCCCATCACAATAATATATTATTTATGTCTAAATCGAATTAAATAACTGGTTCTCTTTCTTTCCCAGTTTCCATTTGTTTTCTTTAAGTTGAATAATGTAACTGAGGCTCGTGACTAACAAAAACAATGAAAGGTTAAAGCAGAAATTAAGGGTTTCAATTTCTTTCTGGACCCTTCTAATAGGAATTACCGTTTCTAGACTCTTTTCTATATGAATAAGAGAAAAGAAAATGAACACAGCTTAAGCTCAACACCACGGGTTTTAGTCTGACATGGACAATCCTTCACATCCTCACATACTTTGTTATAAAATATAAGATAGTCAAAATGTATGCTACTACTAGGTCGTGGACATTGATTTGTCGTTGTTCAATCATTTCTAAGGAAGACAATCGACAACCACAAATGTCTCGGGACGGATCAGCCGTGTGACTTTTGTTTCGCTCGTATGTCTCCATCTGAATTTTGTTTTACATTTCGGTATGTATTTCTTAACTTGTTGCTTCGATGTTTCAACAATCATGCCAAGCACTGATCAAGTATATATTGATAGAGATTATATATTTCAATTATTTATAATCCTGGAAAGAGAGTTGGTTGATATATTCGCTTGTACGTGGTGGGTGGTTATAATTTAACCTCATGCCTGCTGGATTTTTTTTGAACTTATTACATTTCACAAAAGTGACGAATGAAAACAAAGTGGTCTCACATCAAAATTTAAATGGATCGAATACCAGAAGTGTACCAATAAAGTAGAACAGTCATGCAGAAGAAAGTGGCCTACAAATTCCATGTCAAGAAACATACAAAGATGAAGAAACTTGAAGGGGGATGACACCTTCCAGATAAACTTTTCCACAAATTGCTTTTGGAAGTGATCACTCATATATTTCATGCATTTATACCATCCATTTTTAAAGTCTTTGTGATGTTTTTGTGTTAAAATGGTTGCATTTTACCTTACCTGTGTTAGTGTGCGGTTAAATTTGCTTTAGGATCAATTTCAAGCAAAAAGGAGAAAAGGAAATAATAAAAACAAACAAAAGAATTGGAAGTGGAGCTTGTCTCCACAGGTGGTGTTTGAAAAAGAAATCAGAAAGCAAAGTGGGGGAGTGAGGATAAAGTGGAGCACTGGGAAGTGGGATGAGGCTTGTCTTCCACTTGTGGCCTTAGTGACTTGGAAAAGAGCTGCCTTTTGTTAAAGGCAAGAAAAGAAAACACATAGACTGGCAGTGGGAAAGACACAAGGAACACGGCAGAGAGCAAAAGAAGGGAGAGCAGAGAAGAAGAAGAGGAACGGACAGAGTTGCAGGAGCAACAAAGCAGAAATCAGAAGGGATGCCGTAGCTCCAAGAGGATCGGAGAGCTCAGGAGATAGCTTCCTTGTAAAAAAAAAGGGTTGTCTCTTTCTTTGATTCTTCATGGATAATTTCTTATGTATTCAAATAATTATGTATAACTAATTTCCTTTTGCTAGAGTGAGGCCATGAGCCGCAACATGATTACGTAGATTTCTCTTTCAATTGCTTAAGTGTTGTTACATGCTTGCTTTGATATTTTCATTCTCTAAATTAAACTATCTATATGTCTTGATGATTGATCACCATTAGGATGCTTAGAAAAGTCATTGTATGCAATTTTGAACGAATGTCACGTTAAAATTGGTTATGTTTCTTGTGATTGAGGATTGTAATTTCTCCTAAGGTAAATATCACACTCTTAGGGATTACATGGTTTAACAAAAGGATTTTCATCAAGATTAATGAATCATTCATGTTTATATTTAATCCAAATGTCATGGATAAATTGCATGTAGTGGTATGCGTTTTAACTTGAATGTCACAAGTAAAACATACACAAGGAAAACCCAACCTTCAAAGCATATATGTTTTCGATTACTTAAGCAATTGGAAGAGCTACGTAGGAGTGTTGTTGGTAAAAGGTTGAACTCTAGCACCTTGTCAATCTAATTTTCTTAAATTATTTGTATTATCTTGAGTTTATATATTTACTTGTTTTGTTTAGTTGGATCACTATTCCTATAAGCCAATTCCCATTTTAGATATTTGTTTAAGTCACATCCAGTAGTATTTAATTTCGTTAAATTAGTGTAGTTCTTAGAGTTAAATAAGTTAAATACACAAAAACTCGTAAATTGTTTATATCAGTCCCTGAGGAGATCGACCTTGCTTGAGCCATTCTATACTACAAACATTTGTTCTCTTGAAAGAATTTTCTATGGTTTAACCCTTGTTTTACAAGTGGTAATATCGCTATCAAGAAATTGGCGCCGTTGCCAGGGACTGTGCTAACAATTCCTGAGCTTTTGTGTTTATTTTTCTTATGCTTATGTTTATGTCTTATTTTTATTAATCATTAAAAAAAACAGCAATTAATTTAGTTGAGTTTCGATCTTTGATTAAGTGCAGTGGATGTGTGGTGTGAGATTTTTGTCTTTGTTTAACTAACTAGTGGTTGCCAATTTGCATAAACTGTGTTTTTGATTCATCTAGGTTTACTTACTTTCTTTTCCTTTTTGTTGTTTAGTTAGTTTCTGTTAAGTTTTATTTTATTTTACTTTTATTTTTATTGTGGCTTAATATTTCTGTTGTTTGTTCAGGTATAGTATATGGTGATAAGAACAAGGTCCAAGAATCAAGTGCTTATTCCTTACGACCCTGAATCAGAAGGAAGTGCCTCTCATTTTAGGCCGACCGTTCATGGCCACCGCCCGGACATTTATTAATGTGGAAGTAGGTACTTTAACCTTAAGAGTGCAAGGAGAGTCAGTTGTATTCAAACTCTTTGAAGCTATCAAGCGTCCTTTCGAACTTGAAGAGTGTTTTCGTGTTGATCTTTTGGATGGGATTGTGCATGCAAACTTTGCCTCACGATCATCTAACGATGAGCTGTTAACTTGCCTCACCAACCATGATGCTACTTTATCTATGGAAGAAAATGTGGTGGACGTCATTGCTGCATTTGATAGTGCACCAATTCATAATCTAAAGTGGCGACATGTTTATGAAAGCCTTGGAGTGCCTAAGCAGCCCCTTCTTCCTTCAAGTGAGCAAGCTCCAAAGTTAAAGCTCAAGCTACTACCGAGCCACCTCAAGTATGCTCATCTCGGGGTGAACGAGACCTTGCCTGTTATTATTGTTGCTGATCTTAATGACACGGAGGAAGACAAATTACTAAGAGTTCTTCGCAAGTATCAAGATGCTCTGGGGTGGACACTTGCTAACATAAAGGGCATTAGTCCAGCTTTGTGCATGCATAGGATTTTTATGAAGGCTGGGACTAAACCAACTATTGAAGCTCAAAGACGTCTAAATCCGATCATGAAGGAAGTTGTAAGAGTTAAGGTGATGAAGTTACTTGATGCAGGTATCATTTATCCAATCTCGAATAGCAAATGGGTGAGCCCGACTCAAGTGGTTCCAAAGAAAACTGGTATTACTGTGGTGAAGAATAATAACAACGAGCTTGTGCCTACAGGGATGACCACCGGATGGCGAATATGTGTTGACTATAGAAAGCCCAATAACAGCACTCGAAATGATCATTTTCCACTGCCATTCATTGATCAGATGCTCGAGAGACTAGCTGGTCATTCTTTCTATTGTTTCTTAGATGGTTATTCAGGGTACAACCAAATTCTAATTACCCCTGAGGATCAAGAGAAGACAACGTTTACATGGCCTTTTGGTACATTTGCATACAGACGAATGCCATTTGGATTGTGCAATGCTCCTGCCACTTTCCAACGATGCATGATGAGTATTTTTTCCAGAATGGTTGAAAATATTGTTGAGGTTTTTATGGATGACTTTTCTGTTTTTGGTAATTCTTTCGATATATGTTTGGATAACTTGTCTTTGGTTTTGGAAAGATGCAGGGAGACTAATCTTGTGTTAAATTGGGAGAAATGTCATTTTATGGTTAAGCATGGCATTGTGCTAGGACATCTAATTTCAAGCAAAGGAATAGAGGTCGACAAGGCAAAGATTGAGGTGATCGCCAAATTACCACCACCAACTTCTGTGAAGAATATGAGATCTTTCTTGGGACATGCTGGTTTTTATCAAAGATTCATCAAGGATTTTTCCAAAATTAGTCGTCCTCTTTGTAATTTACTTGCTAAAGATGCTTGTTTTGATTTTAATGCAGATTGTCATGATCCTTTCAACAAATTGAAGGATCTTCTCTCATCAGCCCCAATTATAACAGCTCCAGATTGGACCCTTCCTTTTGAGCTCATGTGCGATGCTTCCGATTACATTGTGGGTGCAATCCTTGGTCAGCGACGTGACAAGCTCCCCCATGTTATATATTATGCCAGCCGCACTTTGAATGATGCTCAGCTGAATTATGCCACTACAGAAAAAGAATTACTTGCAGTGGTATGTGCTCTTGAAAAGTTTTGATCGTGCTTAATTGGTGCTAAAGTCATTATGTATTCTGATCATTCTGCTCTTAAGTACTTATTGTCTAAAAAAGAGGCCAAACCATGATTGATTCGTTGGGTCCTTCTCTTGCAAGAGTTTGATTTGGAGATCCTAGATAAAAAGGGATGTGAGAATGTTATGGTGGATCATCTCTCAAGATTAGTAAATGCAAGCACTGATGAGGCAGATTCATTGCCCCTGCAAAAGAACTTTCCAGACGAGCAACTTCTAGCGGTTACTCATCAAGTACCATGGTATGCTGACATCACAAATTATTTGGCATCTGGAGAAATACCATCAGAGTTCAGTTATCAACAAAGGAAGAAGTTCCTCTCCACTGTAAAACACTACTTTTGGGATGAGCCATACCTTTTCAAGCATTGCCAAGATCAAATCATTCGCCAGTGTGTCCCCTTAAAAGAACAAGAAAGCATTTTGAAGTTTGCTCACCATTATGCATATGGTGGTCATTTTGGATTAAGAAGGACTGAGGCTAAAATCTTATAGAGTGGTTTCTTTTGGCCATCTTTATTCAAAGATGCATACCTATGGTGCCAGGCTTGTGATAAGTGCCAAAGAGTTGGCAATCTTTCTCAAAGAAATGAGTTGCCCCAACAAAGTATTTTGGTGATTGAACTATTTGATGTCTGGGGTATAAACTTCATGGGACCTTTCCCTTTTTCACATGGAAATCTCTACATCTTGGTGGCGGTTGATTATGTCTCTAAGAGGGTAGAGGCAATAGCTTCTCTAACATGCAAAAGTTCTGTGGTGTTAGGTTTCTTGCAGAATACTATTTTTCCCCGATTTGGAGTACCTCGTGCTATCATCAGTGACGAAGGTACGCATTTCTTAAACCGCACCATGGCTGCCCTTTGTGCTAAGTATCATATTCACCATCACATAGCCACCCCATACCATCCACAGACATTTGGACAAGTTGAAGTATCTAATCATGAGCTCAAGAGGATTCTTGAGAAAACTGTCAGTTCATCTCGAAAGGATTGGAGTTTAAAGCTTACTGATGCTTTATGGGCATATAGGACAGCTTATAAGACACTAATTGGGATGTCTCCTTTTCGTTTGGTGTATGGGAAAGCTTGTCATCTGCGTATGGAACTTGAGCACAAGGCATATTGGGCTATTAAGCACCTCAATTTTGACTACCAGGCAACTGGAGAGAAACGGAAGCTGCAATTGAATGAACTAGAAGAAATAAGGAATGATGCTTATAAGAATGCAAAGATTTACAAGGATAAGACCAAGAAATTTCATGATGCTCACATCCTTCGTAAAGAGTTTCAACTGGGTCAGAAGGTTTTGCTTTTTAATTCGAGACTGAAACTATTCCCAGGAAAACTCAAATCACGTTGGAATGGTCCATATCGTGTTGTACAGGTCCATCTTCATGGGGCTGTGGATATCCAAAACATGCAAACTGGTTTTGTCTTCAAAGTTAATGGACATCGCTTAAAGTTATACAAGGAGTCTCCATATGATCTTGCTAAGGATTCCATCACTTTGAAGGAACCTGTTATTTGAATCAAACTGCCAACAGAATGTCTAGCTCTAGACAGTAACTAAAGCGCTTCTTGGGAGGCAACCCAAGCTTTCTATCTTTCATCTTTAGTTTGAATAATTTTAAATGTTCTTGTTCTGTTTTTCTCTTGTTTTCTGGTTTGTGTGTTTAAGTCCTACTTTTGCTCCCTTATCCAGGTAATGATTTTACAATCTCTACCACAACTTCTTGAAAAGTTTCTTAATCCCAACGGTTACTCACACATTTGTTATGCATAATGGGACGTGTTGAAACAAGTTTGGGGATGATTTGGAATTCTACCATGGAACAAAAAAAAATGCATTTTTATTGCTGCTCTCCTCGCCTACACAAATTGGTGTGTTCTTTCCTTTTTTTTATGTGTCTTTATTTCATTTTGTATTTCTTTCCTTCCATTTTTATGTCTTATTGTTCAAAATTCCTTTCATTATCATTGGGGACAATGCTATAATTAAGTTTGGACGTGGAAATATATTTCGTTAGTTTACTTCTTGTTAAAAAAAAATTTAATAAAAAAAAATTTCCATTTTTGTTGTTGTTTGTAGCTACTTCTCAATTCAATGATGAGATTTGATCTTAATTTCCTTCTTACTTTCAAGAAGTCTAAGTTCTTTTCGTTGTCTTTGTGTTAACTGTGATTTCCAGCAATCAACTTGAAAAATAAATGTGCCTAGTCTTGTCAATGTGAAACTTGAGCATGATTTAGCGTTTCATATGTGAATCATGTGAGATTATGTAAACCTTGTGAGTTTTTGAGCCTATACATGATTAAACCATTATGCATCAATCTCATTCCTTCTTGTGCGTATGATCTCACTGTACATGTATCCCTAGAACTTGCTTTATACTTCTCGTCTCATTCATAAATTCATGTAATAACTTGGAAGTGATATAGGCCATCTTTGGATCGTTTGAGCCTTTCATGCCTACCTTATATGCTATGTGTGTCCGTAGTAGACCATTGAGCCTTTAACTAAGCCATTTCTTTGTTAGCCACATCTCTTTACCTTGCTCCAATATTGGAGTTGAGCCCATACACAGAAATCGATTCCTTATTGTTTTGAGAAAGTATTACATGGGTTGTGCTCTTGGGGGTTTCATTTATGTCGAAAGATGGATGGAACATGTGTATTACAATGAAATGTGAATTTGATGGGTGATGTAGCTTTTGCAAATTTATGCATAGCGTTGCAGATTTGTTTTTTTTGCTAAAAAAAAATTAAAAAAAAATGGAGAGTGTTGATTTGTTGAAAATGTGTCTGCAAAGTATAAATTTCCTTTTGAAGTTGAATTTGGGGAGTAACAGGTGCTCGAGGTTTTATTATTTTGCTTTCAATTTGAGGTGGTGTGATATTGAGGTGTTGGAAAACTACCAAAGTGTACTTTCTCAAAAATTTGGATTTCCATATCCTTTCTTTCATTAGCCTATCACCTTTAGCCCCATTACAACCGTAATAAAGTCCTATTGATCTAAGGTATTACTTAAATATTGATAGCAAGTTAGGTGGACAAGCAAGCATATGGCGGCATGTACAATGAGATCACTTGAGTGAAACACATTAACCAAAACTTATGAGTGAATGAGCGTATGTCTTGTGAGAAGCTCACATGTTTGCATATGATGATTTAAAGGAGCTTGGAATTGCATTGACATGGCTAGCTCACACATGACATTTGAACGTTTTGTTTGAAGGAAATTTGGTTAACTATTGGATGATGTTTTGAGCTCTTGTTGCTTAGTTCTTGGCGGTTTGTTTCATGGTTAGCACTTATCTCTGAAATCGAAATTGAGAAGTTGGCTACTAAGTTGTTGAGTCTAGTCTTGGTTGAGTGGTTTTGTTTTGTGTTTTGTTTTGCTAGAGGACTAGCAAAAATGTAAGTTTGGGGGTATTTGATCACTCATATATTTCATGCATTTATACCATCCATTTCTAAAGTCTTTGTGATGTTTTTGTGTTAAAATGGTTGCATTTTACCTTACCTTGTGTTAGTGTGCAGTTAAATTTGCTTTAGGATCAATTTCAAGCAAAAAGGAGAAAAGGAAATAATAAAAACAAACAAAAGAATTGGAAGTGGAGCTTGTCTCCACGGGTGGTGTTTGAAAAAGAAATCAAAAAGCAAAGTGGGGTAGTGAGGATAAAGTGGAGCACTAGGAAGTGGGATGAGACTTGTCTTCCACTTGTGGCCTTAGTGACTTGGAAAAGAGCTGCCTTTTGTTAAAGGCAAGAAAAGAAAACACATAGATTGGCAGTGGAAAGACAAAAGGAACACGGCAAAGAGCAAAAGAAGGGAGAGCAGAGAAGAAGAGGAACAGACAGAGTTGCAGGAGCAACATAGCAGAAAGCAGAAGGGATGCCGTAGCTCCAAGAGGATCGGAGAGCTCAGGAGATAGCTTTCTTGTAAAAAAAAAGGATTGTCTCTTTCTTTGATTCTTCATGGATAATTTCTTATGTATTCAAATAATTATGTATAACTAATTTCCTTTTGCTAGAGTGAGGCCATGAGCCGCAACATGATTACGTAGATTTCTCTTTCAATTGCTTAAGTGTTGTTACATGCTTGCTTTGATATTTTCAATCTCTAAATTAAACTATCTATGTGTCTTGATGATTGATCACCATTAGGATGCTTAGAAAAGTCATTGGATGCAATTTTGAACGAATGTCACATTAAAATTGGTTATGCTTCTTGTGATTGAGGATTGTAATTTCTCCTAAGGTAAATATCATACTCTTAGGGATTACATGGTTTAACAAAAGGATTTTCATCAAGATTAAGGAATCATTCATGTTTATATTTAATCCAAATGTCATGGATAAATTGCATGTAGTGGTATGCGTTTTAACTTGAATGTCACAAGTAAAACATACACAAGGAAAACCCAACCTTCAAAGCATATATGTTTTCGATTACTTAAGCATTTGGAAGAGCTACGTAGGAGTGTTGTTGGTAAAAGGTTGAACTCTAGCACCTTGTCAATCTAATTTTCTTAAATTATTTGTATTATCTTGAGTTTATATATTTACTTGTTTTGTTTAGTTGGATCACTATTCTTATAAGCCAATTCCCGTTTTAGATATTTGTTTAAGTCACATCCAGTAGTATTTAGTTTCGTCAAATTAGTGTAGTTCTTAGAGTTAAATAAGTTAAATACACAAAAACTCGTAAATTGTTTATATCAGTCCCTGAGGGAGAAGATGATGCACAAACTTCAAATTTCATCCATTCCTTTTGCTCCAAGCATATGCTATCCATTTCATGCCCAAAATGCTCCAAAATGCACTTCTTTACCACATTAACCCTTTGGACCTGCAAACACACAAAAATAGCTTAAAACATTAAAATAACTACGAACTAACAACATAAATGCCAAGAAATAAGCTAACTAAGTCGCATAAATATGCTCCTATCAAATTGCCCCACACTTAGCTTTTGCTAGTCCTCGAGCAAAACAAAACAAACAAAACAAAACAAAACACAACCTAGACCTTCCAACAATTGCCTCAAGGATTGTTAATGAAACATGACATGTTAAAAATTATCATTCCCATAGATTTTGGTCATGATCACACTTGAGCACATACTTAATCACAGTCACCACTTACTAGTTCACAATTAACCAATTAAAACGATGTTTTGAATGTAGTAACATGCCTTAGAGAATTTGCTCAATTCCTTACAAGATACTCTCTATTTTCAAACATTTTCTGACTACACACCCTACACTAGTTATATGTGAGAAGATTGATGTAAACACGAAAGACTAGGACTCACATAGGTTATAACAAAGAAAGCAATTTTCTGGAGTTATTAAGCATGTTTAGATATGATCTTATGAATGGAATGCTACTACTTAGATGCAAGAACCAGTGACACCATATGGTCATACCAATTTCGAACTCCACAAATTGAAACACACAACACTCAAGATTGAAGTCAAGGGTTGTAACAGGGCTTGGGGGTAATGGCTAACAAAGAAAGGATAGGGATAACAAACATTCTTAAAGCGATAGCAAGCAAAGCAATGAAATAGACGCTTGGAAATCACTTTAGAATGCAGAATCAACTTTTAAATACAACGGGAAGATTCTTGCAACACTTAGGGCCGAATTCAATGTTTTGAACCCTTTCTTTAACAAACAACACTTTAGAGCTCTTTTTCATACTTTTTTTTTTCAATTTTTTTTTCTACCCGTGCCTTATTAAGGACTTTGGCACACACACACACACAAGAATCAATTCCCCCACACTTGCTTTCTGCAATACATTGATAAAAAAGGAGTTCATTTTAAGTCATGCTTTACTATGCTTCAAGAATAAGGGTATGGATGGTCCTAAAACTAGGCTAGGTAAGGATAGTGTGGGTTAACAAAGAACATAGGCTTAACAAGGCTCAACAGGGTTAAACTTAAACACATAATGAATGGGATAGGCTTTTTGGCTCTTGGCTCACTAAACAACTTCATCTTGAATATGTGTTATGCAAATCAATAACATGCTTTGAATGAAATAGGCATAAGTTCTAGCATTTGGAACTAAATGATGAATGCATTCTAAGTAGCAACCAAGCAAAGAATAATGAGATCATGCAACGACTTTAGAAAACAAAAAAAAGTTGCACAAATTAATAACTCTCCAAATAAACGTTTAGGCTCAAGTCTCTCAAGGATGTAGCGTTAGTTTGAGTTCCTTCTTTCAAGCATGTTACAAAAACTGATTTTATCCTTTGTGATTACATGTGAATTCATAAATTATAACGACAACCAAGCATAAACCAAAGAGCATATCAAGCTTCCATCCATGTTTGTAACTTTCTTTAACAGTCATGTAATTAAAAACCAAATCCTCATCATTGTGTTGGAAGGTACCCTAAGACACAAATAAACACACAAAAACAACTCTTTTTGGTTTTTTTTTTCAAAACAATTTTTCAAATTTTTATGAGATTTTCGGATTTTATGTCAAAACACACTAAAACACTCCA